TTCTTTGCTGTTATATATGCTTATTACTTTTATTAAAATCCGTATCCAGTATTCATAATAAGCGGTATGCTAAGAGTGATACAATCTCTGTGTGTCGCAAAACATGGAACTAGTACTTATATATCGACAAAATTTTCCCAATGGATAATATCAACAATTTTTTATTCTGTTCCGTGATATAAAGACAAAATGTCAATAATATAAATCTGTAATACAATTATGCATACATTAAAAAGATTTTATAGACATACATGTTTTATTATTTACTTTTATTTTTAAAATTGATTTGCACAAAACTTTTTACTTCCAGCTTATAATTTAAAAAGTATCAATATGTGTATCATCGTTAATTGATAACATTATTAAAAAGTTTCTTTCAAATTAATCAAAGTAAGGACCTGCACAATGGAGCAAATATTAGAAACAGGAATAAATATTAAATTTTGGAAATCAAAAATTTGAAATAAAATAAATGTAAGGCACAGTGAATAAATAAGTATAAAATATAATCATATCTTATACTTACTCGTATTCATTGTGCGTACGTTTAATTTTTATTCTTAACTTTTATTTCTAAAATTTAATATTTATTCCTATTCTTAATATTTCCTCCATTGTGAGCAGGCCCTAAAACTCTAATTTTTCGACACTATTTTTACATTTAAAAATAAAATCTAACGTAAAAATGTATTAGATATTAGATATCAATATATTATTTCATATCAGCATTCAATTAAACTGTATCTTCATAAAAAATTGCAATCATTATTAAGCATTCTTTTCTGTAAGAAACGATATGTGGCGCAAATAAAGATAACTTTTTCCAAATTTGATAAATCTGTTTATAATAAGATTAATAAACAATACATAAATATATAAGCCGAGTAAGATTAATAAGATACGATTAATTTTAAAAATAAATTTTAAATTTCAGAAAAAATGAAATAATGAGTCACAATGGAGTTTGATACGCGCGCGCGTGTGTGTGTGTGTGTGTGGTGTGTATATCTGTAGATATATTGATAAATTGTGCTGACTTATTTATCAATTTTTTCCTTATAAATAGTTGTATTGCATCAGCTTTAAACTATGAACTATTTTCTCCATTTCCATCTCTAATATCAAAAAGGATTTTCTCGTAATATAATTCCCAAAACGTGTAATCTAAAGTCTAAAATTTAACGAAGAATTGGATAAATGCAGCAGAACATGAAAAAAAATTAAGATTTTGTACACTGAACACTTATTCATTTCCGAACAAAATAAATTTCAATCAACAGAGAAATAGCGATGTCAAGATGAGAGGATATATGTTTTTAATCGAAGTATAAGTGTATAAGAGATAGACATATAATGTGTTATGAAGATATATAATTATACTTATGACAAGAGGGAATATCGGTTGTTCGCACAAATGTAATGTAGATTTATTGATGACTGTAATTAACGACTATAGAGACATGTAATTTTGCAGAACAAGCCAATGAAAATCAACTGGCAATTTTCTCCCTTATAAAATTATCATGGCTCTTGGAATCTTTCATTCTTGTTCTTTGTAAGAAATTATTATACATCTGTGTAATATCATTGTATGCGCGCGCGCGTACAATGCTCTCTGTGTGTGTGTGTGTGTGTGTGTGTGTGTGTGTGTGTGAAAGAGAGATAAGTCATATATATCTGTATAAAATACTGTTGCCTTAATATTAGTGTATTTATAAAGTTCGATACACACAAAATATATACACATCGAAACAAAATATAGATTTTGACAAGAAACGAGCATCATTTTGCAAAACGCAAATTAATCTTATAAAAAGTGTATATAAGTGTACTTAAAGAAAAAATATAGAAGTTATTAACCTATTTAAATACTTGTTAAAATTGTTGTACTTGTTAAAATATTTGTAAGAATAGATATCTGCATGTAAGTGTATATTACTTCCTGGGAACATGACAATATGTTGAAATTTACTTGGAAGGATAATATCTCTCAATTATATTTCAAATGACATCATTATAATTACAACTTTGATACCGGTAGTAAAATATCGACAAAGTAAAGTATCGCATTGTCAAATTATTAATAAATCATTAATTTTAAGCCATGTGGAGATGATAAGGTTGATGATTCAAACGCACAGTGTCTCATAAACCTTTGCCACGTTTGTACACTGCCATTTTTATCAAAACGCATAAATAAAAGCTATTATATATATAATTTCTTTATAGAGTATTATTTAATAAGTACAGTATTACTTAATATAATATTGAATAAATAGATATATAAATAAATTAAACTAGAGAAGTTTAGCCGAGTTGAATGGAGTCAATTTTTACAAATTTTAAAAAAAATTAATTAGTTATTGTACAATTGCGATATACTTGTGTTTCGCTTTATGTTAATGCTTCATCATTAATGTACCTAATGAATATAATAAAAAGTTCGAATAATGATCAGTAATATCTTTTATCATGCACTTACCGAAAAGTGTGGTCAATTCACATAATTCTGAGATTTAACTTTTTCTCATTACGTGTCAATGATTATATATTTACTATTTTTTCGAAATGTAGATCATATTCCATGTATTATATATCCTTATGTTCATTCTCGTTGATAGGTGCTGTGGTGGGCGGAGCACTTCATATTTTAGAGGGCGAAATATCCTGGGTATATGTAGGTACCATTGTACTTCGTCCCTTATATTCCTGTTCACTTTCCTTCAAGAAATTTTAACTATGATTATTGGCATTTTTGTAAATGTCGCAACAGAAACTACAGTATTAGGATTCTGCTTACAAGTATGTGCACGATTCGACATGTTAAAACACCATCTTCAGAGAATGATAAAATATAATAAAAAGGAAAATATTTTGAGAAGTTCATTGAATAATATATCTAATGAAACAAGCAGATTATTGGAACATATTTCCTATCATCTATAATCATGTATAATCAGGTTGGTCAAAAGAATAACTGTTTTGTATATGCATCTCTCTAAAAAATTAAATAATGTTCAACACACATATCCAAATTCAAAAACTGAACTATTGCTTGGTTGATTGTGATGCTTGAATAATACATCTAATAGGTCTAAATAAATTAAATTTTTTATAATAAAACTTACATATGCAGATATTGAAATTATTATGACTGGATCATTGGAAAAATGGTGATAATTTTTGTATTATTTAATGTTTCCATTTAGAAAAATTGTTTTTAAAAATATGCAATCCTGAAAAAATAAAATTTCTTGAAAAATTAAAATTTCAATTTTGGTTGAATTTTGAAAAAATTTTAGCATGTAGATCTAATTATCGATAAATACTAGATATTTCATATATTATTACTACATATATACATATATTATTATAACTTTTTAGTCTATGTTATTATAACTGTATATGTACAATTTATATCGGAATATGTAATTATATAATTTATAGACTTGCCGAAATGATCAACGCTGTGTACAGCCAAGTAATCTTTATTCAATTTTTCGTCAGTATTTTGGTATTGTGTTCAACTGTATACCATCTGTTTTCTCACGTAACATTTACAGATATGGCTAGTTTGGTCGTTTACACATTTTGCATGTTTGTACAGATTTTTGTTTATTGCTGGGCTGAAAACGAAATTATGCTTAAGATACTCATGAGAATGTATTAAAAAATTGAGATAGCGTTTCGTAAGGCTATCACAATTGCAATGTGTTTAATAATTTTAATTGTTATTAGAGTGCTGGATTAAGTGAGAAGGTATATCACATGGATTGGATATTGATGACAAGTAGCAAACAAAAGAATCTACTAATGATTATGAAGCGTAGCACAAGACCTATCAAATTCACAAGCAGTTTTTTAGTGACATTGTCTGTGGAATCTTATGGCGTTGTCAGTATTAAAATTAAAGATTCCATAGATATTGCCATAGATATTTCTTATGACACTTACGAGAGAAACTCCTTTACTAAAATCTTATTTTGTACATTACAGCTCTTGAAGACATCTTTCTCCGCATTTAACGTTTTGCAACAATTATAAATTAATCATCTTTTCCTTCATCCTTTGGCACTACATATACACGCTAATGTCACGAATAAATTGCTTATTGCAGATGACATATCAATGTTTCTTCCATTGTGTGTGCCTATTTTAGCGTCAAATTAGATCACGTCAAATTAGATCACATGATCAAAAATGACCATTCAGATTTCACTATTCTGTTTAATTTTGATAACGAATATAATACATTTTTATATAATAAATTTCATCATAAATTATAATTAATAGACGTCATGTACGATTTGCCAATGGAATTAAGAAGTGGCTTTACATGAGCAAGAATCGTTTAATATAAAAATTTTAAATCTTAGATTTATCTTTACAACATTGATTTTATCGTTTCATTTTAAGTTTCTCAGAAATAATTATACAAAGAAACACATTTTCAAAATGTACTTTTTACTATCAACAATTTTTACTATTTTCAAAATAGTGGAAATAAAGAAATTGATGTTGCTTATATATGGTTATATATAAACGTGTTTTAATTGTCTTATGGAAGATATGAAGATGATATGATCTATGGGAGAAAGAAAATGGGAAAAGATTTGTTATGTAATAAAAAAATTATTTTAATTTTTCTTAAAATCAAGATTTGATAATTAGTCCTTATTCCATTTATCTCTGATTATGTAAAGTCAAGCCTCCCAAAACAAATATAATTTAAACACTTATTGAGAAAAGTATTAGCATATCTTTAAATAGTAAATCATTAAACATATCTGTACGAGCGATTAAACTACAAGTGACGAAAATTTTATATTTTAGATATACATGTAACTTATTTATGTATTTTTCAAATTTTCTTATATATTAATAATTTCTTTGCATATATTAACTAGCTAGCAGATTTAAGTTGTGTGCGAAATGCGTCCTTAATTCCATGAATTGTGAATATTAATTTACATATTAATTTACGGAAAATCGACGATTGTACCGACTTGATGTCAAAAATCAAGAATGTGCCTATCAAGTTCCAAGTAATTCCATTAAAATGACTCGAGATGGCGTAATAGAAACAAATTTATACATGTGTTTGCCGCTTGATTAAAGTCGCAAAGAAGAAAATGATGGTGTGTGAACGGCATTTCTGGAGGATCAAATATTTTATTCATATGTGATATGATATAGAACAAGATTATAGTGAATATTATATGATATGCCAACATGAATCCTGCGGAAGCTGAAAGTATTGCTGACCTGGTTCAAAATATGATCATTTCTCTATGCGGCGAACAAAAACCAGGCTAGTTACCTTTAAATTATAACTTGTCTATTTTTCCGATTAATTATCGGAAATTTATATTCAGAAAACTTTAACGATATAATATCTTGATCGATTCGATTGGAACAATGTTTATTTTAAACAATATGACTCATTAATGCGTCATTAATATTTTTTTGCGTTGTATGTTTATAATAAAGCAGAGCCTATATTTCGCGTTGTTTATTGCAACAAGCTTTTTTAAAATATTATTTGAATTGTATAAAAGAATTAAAAAGCTAAAAAGAACAATCCTAAAAAGCTTTCTTCATTTTAAATTTAATATGTGTCATTTACATACTCTTAAATCAAAATCTGCTTGAAAAATTGTTTCTGTTCTATTTTGACAAGAGAAAAAGAGAAAAGAAGAGAAGCTGTAAAGAATCTTGAGGATTAATTAGTTTCAGCAAAATCGTCTTTATGATCCTTTAAGTTTGTCATATCCAATAGTATTTAATTCATAATACATTTAAATCTATATGATGATATGATCATTTAAATCTAGATGATAATCTTTGAGCAGATTTAGATTCTGGCATATGTAACATCTCTAAATTCACAATTTTTAATCACAATTTTTAATTAAATCATATTTTTTAGATCTTTTACAGCATATAATTTATAGTCATAAAATTTGCAAATATTCAGTAATTAATAACAATATATATATTGTATGAATTATATAACATAACATATTTCTTGCATGTTGTAGAATTGATTAGAAGATTCATGCGTTTTTCCCTTGGCTTATTGTCGTCTACTCAAAGTATAGAAACACTGAGAGAAGATGAAGTAACTGTAGCGACATGTATAAAAAGTAAATTATCACCACGTGATGCAGTGCAGTTTGATAAGCTGCATAACGATTTAAAAGATGGGGTAATATGAAAATCTCATGTGGGTTATATCTTTTAAAGCTTTTGTTCCGATTAAATTATATTTGATTTATATCTATTATTTACAATTAAATATTTGTATATAAATTTTATTCTTTTATTAGCCATTGAAGAATCATATAAGCATTCTGATATTTCTGCTGAACATGGGCCAGTCAACAGAACAAATAAAAGACAGGATTTTTTCGTTTCCAGATATGAAATCAGAGTTAAGCCCAATTGCATCTACCAGTGGTAAGACTAATTAATAACAAAGCTATCAATATTTATCCAAATATTAACTGTTTTATATTTAGGACAATTGTCGCAAACGTCATATTCTCAAGCACAAGTTGTGCCATTAAATACCACAGAAACAAGTTCAAAAGGGTTACTAACAAATCCAAGTAAAATATTTAATGAAGAGTGCATTTCGGAAGATATATTGGTTCAAGACTTGATATATTCTTTCCAAGGTGTTGAAGGAAAAATTTTAAAGTTAGATTCGAGCTATGGTTTTCAAATAGATCCTATAGCAAAGATTAATAGATCACAAAAACAAGCTGTTTTAAGGCTCAGTGAACTAGGATATCTACATAATGTAGTGCGGAAAGGATTAGAGAGAATGTCTGTGGCAGGTGCAGGTAGAGTCACTGATAGTTTTGTTGCTGCGCTGCATAAAGAATTATCAGAATATTACAGATTCATAGCCATAATACAAGAAGAAGTGAATAGGTAAGAATTAAACATGTAATGATATTTTATGAAATTCTCCATATATATATACATACATATAGACATATGTAGAGAGAGAGGAAGGGGGGGGGGGGAAGAGACAGACAGACAGACAGACA